GCTGTGCCCATAAGACGTGAATACCATCCTCGCACTACATTGTCTCTTATGTTGGTTCCTGCACGTCCGTACCATGGTTGTTGCGTGTCTTACCATCTTGTCGTTATTTGCTCGGTTGACCGCCTAGCCAGCATCGCGTACCGCGTTAACCGTCACCCGCCGTAAGGAGCTGCTGGCCACAGCTACCTTACGGCCCAACACATACTCAACCTTACCAGTTTCAGATTGGGTACGGCAGTAACTACCTCCTGCCTTTTGCAAAATGTCTAGTGTCAGCGCCAGCAAAGCTAACGTGACTAAAGCCATCACAGCATGGGAGGCCATCAAAGCCCAATGTTATTTAACTCAGCGCACATCGTCATGCACGCTTACGGGAAGGCATTAAGCACCTTTAGATCTAGTTAAAAGTTCCGACGGTCAGGATACGGACACTGGTCTGGCGTAGACGACGACATCGAACAGCTCGAAGAAGATGATGAAGGTGAGTGAATCGCGTAGGGGGAAGGGAGTAGCGACGAGAGGTTGCTACTCTCCTTCCGTTTCGATTCTAACCACGTAGATTGGGTGTGAACCGGCGGTGAAGGCGGTAAAGTTCAGCGTAGTTATTGCTCTACCTTCCATAGTGACAAAGTGATTTCGCGTAGTTTTACGGGTGTTGCATGGGCCGCCAGGCCCACAATGTTTTTATTAATGATTCTATTTACAGCATAGTCAGCGTAGCCGGTGGAATCGGTCACTCGTGTATTTAAGGTCGTATCTTCTAGCGTACTGTTGCGTAGTGCAGCGCCCTTGGCGAGCGGTTGGAGACCGCTAATTCCTTTCGCTCGGCCCGGCTTGAAATCTTGCCTCCTCCTGACTAACCCAGGGGCTCTTTTGTGATTGGCGATGAAGAAAATCTCCCCCTCGCACAAAGTGTCCCTGCAGGTGTGAGGCTAGACTCACACAGTAGACTAAAGACCCCGTGGCCGTCTGAAGTTGTCTATCTCGTCAACGTCATCGTCAACTTATTGCCATCAGTCAACCACGCCGCCGCGGTCTTCGTCAATCGTGTCGGGCTGCTGTCACGCAGTCGAGGAGTTTCGGTCGCCGCCCCCTCCGCCTACTTTCCCCTTCGATCTCCGTAGCCCCGCCGTAACCCAGTGCTTCGTTAACTGTGTTTTTTATCGTACTTTGAGTTATTGTTTGCGTAGGGAAAGCCATCATGACCCGTCGTCATCAGAGAAATCACCCTCGAACCCAGATAGGTAGTTAGGCCCGTAGGGAGACGACGGTTAACTAACATGTGTGTTTGTTGAGCTGCGTAGCCGCAGTAGGTAAGGACGGGCTTGGCTCCGCTAACGCTGGGACCCCTCTTCTATTAGTCGTTGCCGCCCCCAGTGTCGTGGCTTCCGCCCGACTTATTAAAGGGCCACGCCTGGTCGGGCGCGCAGGGGCCCGGCACGCATCGGTGCCTGCGCGTCGGCTATACTCGACGCGTGCTCTGGTCTAATGCTAGCCGGCACTGGGTCTCCATCGATCGTCGTAGCTGGCCGCCACTGCACTGTCGTCGTACCGCTCGAGCCTGGAAGTGTTATGTAATCCGATGGAATGTGATGTGATCGACTTGGGCATGGAAGCCCAAAGGTGCCGAGCAGTCCCGAGCCACTTCGTCTCCCCTCGTGAGATTAACGTATCGG